GTGGCATGGTGGTTCAGGGCACAGGACGCCCACACAGCGACTGCCATCTACGTCTCAGACCCAGGAGTTTGCTTTCTTGCTTTCTCTTCTCTCTCTCACTCTTCCCCTCTCTAGTCGAATTTAAATAAATAAACAAATAAATAAAGTTAAATTAAATAAATAACACAATTCAGTCTGAGAAGCAATGAGAAGTGGGTGGAACACAGATAAAACGGTTTGGTCATGGGTTGATAATTTTTTTAAAAAGAATTATTTTATTTATTTATTTTTCCCTCTTTTTTTTTTTTGAGAGGTTTTTTTTTTTTTTTTTAAAGGTTTTCGCTATAGGGCGCGTGCGCTCACCAGACAGAGAGAGAGACATAGAGACAGAAAGCGAGAAATCACCCCCTAGGGGGGATGGCCACGCCGCAATCCCTTCTCCTCCATTCTCCTCTCGGGATCTTGGGCACGCACGCACACGCGCCCGGCGTGAGTTTTAAGCCACCGGATCTGGGACTCAACCCACGATCAACTACATGGGAGTCCAGCAACATAGCCATTACACTAACTGCTGGTCCCCCTATTTATTTATTTTTTACATGAGTTTTGCCAGAGAGAGAGCGAGAGAGAGAGAGAGAGAGGGAAGGGGGAGGGAGGGAAGAAGAGCGAGAAAGCAAGTTGCCAGGTCTAGGACTCCAATGGAATTCCGACACCTTAAACACTATGCCACCTGCTGGTCCCATGGGTTGATAATCATTGAAAGGGGGTATTTTGTTTCGTTGGAGAGATTTTTGCTATAGGGCGTGTGCTGGAGAGGCAGAGAGACATAAGGCGAGAAATTACTCCCGGGGGGGATAACCACATCACAATTGCTCCTCCATTCTCTGGAGCAGGCACACATATGCACCCAGCGTGAGTTTTAAGCTGCTGGGTCCAGGACTTGAACCATAGTCGACTACGTGGAAGTCCAGCGACATAATCACTACCCCATTTACTAGTCCCAAAGGGGGGAGGGTTTAAAAAATTATATATTAAATACTAAATAATAAAAGAGAGAAAAAAAAGCATTAAATACAAAACCAAACAAGATAGGGCCAGCTGTGAGGTGGCGGTTAAAGTAGCTGGATCCCAAATGGTCGACTTCATGTTTTCAGTCCTGGACTCCATGGCTTGAAAAACATGCCATGTGCATGTGCGTGTGTGCCCAAAATCCCGAGAGGAGAAGGGACTGTGGCGTGACCATGGTCCTTGGTGGGGTGGGGAGTGATTTCTCACTTTGCCACTCTGTCTCTCTCAGGAAGCCCAACTACACTATCAGCAAAAACTAAAATACAAAAACAAACAAACAAAAAAGACAAAAATCAGCATTTTACAAAGCCTTTTACTTGCCCCCTCCCCCCTAAAAAAAAGGTTTCATGATTAACTGTATTTCAGATACTGGTTAAACAGTTTCTCTATGACAGGACTGTGCAGGGCCTGAGATGTTAATATGTGCATGAATCTCTGAGGTCCTAGGGCCGGGGCGGGGCGGGGGGCATGCTCTGATTCCGTCTGACCACTGAAGCCTTTTATGGGCAGTCAGACCAGATAGCGGAGGAGTGAACTGGCGGGTTCTCAAGCCCCTCCAGGTCTAACAAGCGGGGCCTGTATAGGGAGGTCTCACTGCACAGTAAGGAAGAGGAAAGGGCTGGATAGTGGCCTGGAGGCTCTTTGTTTCTGATGAGATCGAGGAAGGCCTTGAATGCCAAGGACTGCTTCATCATGCACAGCGCAGTTGAGAAGAGCAGCGCGACTGAAATTGTGCTGTAGAAAGTGCGCTTCGGGGCAAATCGGGTTTGGGGTGGGAGAGCAGAGGTGGAGCCTTCCTGCTATAGCCAGGCAGCCTTAGGGATAGGAAAGAAAGACACATGAGGCCAAGGAGTAAGAAGGGGCCAAGAAATGTCCAAGCTACAATGTCAGATGCTTAGGAGATGCGCTGGAAGAAATAAGGAATTCAAGAAAGAAAACCCTGTAGGAAGAACCAAGTCCAGCTGCCATGAGAACAAAAAGTAAATGGATAGAAAGAGTGAGGCCAGCAAGAGGCGTGGTGGTTAAGGTGTTGGATACTTCCATAGGGTCGACCACAGTTCTAGTCCCGGACCTGGTGGTTTGCTTTCTCACTTTCCCTTTCTCTCTCTGTGTGTCTCTCTCTGGTCAAATTAAAATAAATGAATGAATAAAATAAAATTAAATAAATAATTCTAAAAAAATAAAAAGGAGAGCTAACTGAAAAGTACAGCAAACCACAGACCTGAATTGCAGAAACGCATGGGCATTAACCAGATGAATTCAGATCCTTACCCTTAGATGAAGGACAGTTTTAGCTCATAATTTACTATCAAAGCATAGGACTGAGAGCTAGTTGATCTATCAATAAATAAAGGCAGAGAAGAAGCATTCCTTGGGGGGGCTGGTTGAGGGCGCTGGACTCCCACATGGCCGACTGCAATTCGAGTCCCAGACCTGGTGGCTTGCTTTCTCACTTTTCCTCTCTGTCTCTCTCTGGTCAAATTAAAATAAATAAATAAAGTTAAATAAAATAATTCTTTAAAAATAAAAAGAAACACCAGAATGTAAAATGTCTAGTAATGGGAGATAGAGTCACCACTAACTACACATACCATAGCCATCTACAGAATAAAGTTGATATGGAAAGATTTCTGTGACATACTAAGTACAAAAAAGTGCAAGTTGCAAAGTAATTTTGACTTGCTACCATTTATGAAAAACAAAACTACATACAGGCTTATTTGCGTCTCTATTAGCATACATAAAAAGTACGAAAGGAGGGACTTTCAGTTGGCATAATAGCTATGTTACTAGACTCCTATGTAGTCGACTGCGGTTTGAGTCCTAGACCCAGTGACTTAAACTCACGTTGGGCATATGTGTGTGTGTGTGTGTGTATGTGTGCGTGCGTGCCCAAGATCCCGAGATCCCAAGTGGAGAAGGGATTGCAGCGTGGCCATGTCCCCTGAGGGGTGATTTCTTGCTTTCTGTCTCTCTGTCTTTCTGGCAAGCGCATACGCCCTATAGCAAAAACCTCTCCAAAAAAAAAAAGTATGCATAGTTGATTGCTGTGAAGTTCCCCTATAAAGACTGGCCAACCTCCTGCTGCCAGGCAGTTCAATTGCTTCCCTTTTTCCTCCATCATAAACAGCACTGTGATGAACACCCCACCGCTAAGCCTTTGTGACTGCCTCCTTCCTGACTGAGACTTCTCCTGATTGCTTTAGGCACACTGCTTCTCAAACACCTGCAGCAAAGGACCTATCTTTTGCTTTTTTTTTTTTTTTAAGAATTATTCATTTAATTTGGAACCAACAGGTGGCATGGTGGTTGGGGTGCTGGACTCCCACGTGGCCATTCAAGGTTTGAGTCCCAGACCTGGTGGCTTGTTCTCACTTTCCCTCTCTCCTTGTCTCTCTCTGGTGAGTGTGCGTGTCCTGTAATAAAACTTTTAAAAATAATAATGATAAATAAAATTAAGTGAATAATTCTTTTTAAAAATTTAAAAAATTTTTTTTTAATTTTTTTATTTCTTTTTTTTTTTTTTTTAATTTGACCAGAGAGAGATACAGAGAAAGAGAGGGAAAAAGTGAGAAAGCAAGCCATCAGGTCTGGAACTTGAACTGTGGTCAGCTATGTGGGAGTGTATAGCACCTTAACCATCATGCCACCTGCTGGTCCTGTGAACAATTCTTTAAGAAAAAAATAATTATTCATTTAATTTTATTATTATTATTATTAAAATTGACCAGAGAGAGATACAGAGAGACAAAGAGCGAAAGCAAGTAGCCAGGAGTCCAGTGCCTTAACCACCACACCACCTTCTGGCCCTTCTCTTGTGTTTTTTAAAAAATTACTTTATTTAATTTTATTTCTTCTTCAATTTTTAAAAAAATTATTTTATCTAATTTTACTTATTTATTCATTTATTTTAATTTGACCAGATAGAGACACACAGAGTGAGAGAGGGAGGGAAAGTGAGAAAGCAACCCACCAGGTCCAGGATTCAAACTGTCGTCATGTGGGAATGTCCTAGTGCCTTAACCACACACCATCTGCTGGTCTTCTTCTTCAATTTGACCAGAAAGAAACAGAGCCAGAGAGAGGGAGAGAGAGAGAGATGGAGAGTAAGAAAGCAAGCCACCAGGTCTGGGACTCGATCCACGGTTGCCCATGTGGGAGTCTAGTACCTTAATCACCACACCATTTACCAGCCCCTTGTATTTTTCTTTTTAAAGAGGTTTTTGCCTTAGGGTGCATGTGCTCACCAGAGAGAGACTGAGAAAGTGAGAGGGAAAGTGAGGAATTGCACCCCCCAGGGGGAATGGCCACGCCATAGTCATTTCTCCATTCTCCTCCCAGGATCATGGGCAAGCAGGCACACATACTGGCGTGAGTTTCAAGTCACTAGGTCCGGGACTCGAACCTTGGTCGACTATGTAGGAATCTGGCATTTTAACCACCATGACACCTGTCGGTCTCTCTTTTGTATTTTCAATCTGTTATGGACTGGTATTTTTGTAAAGTGCAATGAAAATGAAATGAATATGGAAATGAAAAAAGACACACAAAATACAAGCTCCAAATGCTTAAAAGGGTAAATTTCCTATTGTGCCTATTGTACTACAATAAAGTACAAGCCCATTTTAAAAAATTATTAAATTCAAGTGACATTGTCCAACTGCTACAGAAGTTCCCGACACGTGCTCTCAATGTCTGTACTTCCTGCACAGAATGGACAGGAGAGCAGTTCGGGAATGAACTTAGACTGCAGACTGAACTCTGAGTGTGCTGCTCCACACTGCCCCTCTGTTTTCCTTCCTACCTGTTTACTTGGGTTCCCTCCCTGGACTGGGAGCCCCACCCACGTGTGGCTCATTCCTGAGCACCCTGGACTACGTCCAGAGCCTGCTATGATGAACGCGTGGACGACAGAAATGCTCAGGTAATGTCTGGCGGGAAAAGCCACTCACCATTGGGAACTAGAAGGAGGCTTTTCACGATGCTTCTCAAGGGCCCAAGACTGATCTGATTGGCGCTGGCAAATTCAGAGAGCTGAGCCAGGAACCTTTCCACCTGCAGAGAGGGAACAACACAAACCGGCCATCACTTCCTGAGCATCTCCACGCCGCAGACTCCCGCTCCAGAACGCTCCTTATCACAAAAGGCTCAGAACGCTTTACCTCTTTTGGCTCAGTTAGGAAGTGGAAAAGCACGTCTGTGAGGGCAGAGAATTGCTGTGAAGAGAACACAGAGCATCAGTAAAACTTAGTTCCTGGGGACCAGCAGTTAGCGTAATAGTTATGTCGCTGAACTCCCATGTAGTTGACCACAGTTCGAGTCCTGGACCCGGTGGCTTAAACACGCGAGGTGTGTGTGTGTGCGTGCCCAAGATCCCACGAGGAGAATGGAGGAGAAGGGATTGTGGCATGGCCATACTCCCCCCCCCGGGGGGATGATTTCTCACTTCCTGTCTCTATGTCTCTCTCTGTCTGTCTGGCAAGTGCATGCGCCCTACAGCCAAAACCTCTCAAAACCAAAAAACAAACAACAAAAAAAACCCCACTTCACTCCTACACCAGCGTGCCTCATTGCAGTCAGTGACAGACCTGTGAGCAAAGAATAAAGACAGGCCAGACAGGTAGTGGTGACCTGTTCTGACCATCTGCAAGGTACATACTCAAATCCCACCCCCCTGTGTCACTCTATCTATGACACCCTATTGTGCTTTGGTTTTTAGAGTTTATTGCCTTAGGGTGCATGTGCTTGCTCCCTGGAAAGAGAAACAGTAAGAGGGAAAGTGAGAAATCACCCCTGGGGGGATGGCCACACTGCAACCTCCTTGGAGGGGTGCATTCTCACGTACTCGCTCGCTCTCTCATGAGCACTCGTACCTTCTGGGAAGTTTTACAAAGGGAGGCAGCAGGTGGTGTGGAGGTTAAAGCAGCTGGATACCACAAGGCCAACTGTGCAGTTCAAGTCCCAGGCCTGGCAGCCTGAAAAATCCCACCAGGCACATTACGTACAGGCCCCAAATCCTGAGAGAATGGAGGAAAAGGGACTGCAGCATGGCCAGTGGCCCGTCCCTGGGGATCATTTCTCACTTTGCCCACCCCCCCTCTCTCTATCTTTGGTAAGTGCACACACCCTATAGCAAAACTAAAAAAAGAGAAAGAGAGATTGTGAATGTATGTGTACATCTCTAGACTCTAAATATGTAGATATTCTCCTGCACAGACAGGAAAAGAGTTCTAAAGAGATTACCTGAACAATGAGAGCAGTACTGCTGTGTGGTGAGACTCTGGATGATTTTTTAAAATTATTTTATGACTTTATTAATTTATTTTAATTTGACCAGAGAGGGACAGAGTGAGAGAGAGAGAGAAAGTGAGAAAGCAAGCTGCTAATTCCGGGCCTTGAACCACAGTAGGCCATGTGGGAATCCAGTGCCCTTAACTACCACTTCACCTGCCAGCCCCTGAGACTTTGGATGATTTTTATTTTCTTCCGTTTTGCCTATCCATATTTTCTGGGGTTTTCTCCACACAATAGACATTTTGCTCCTTGTATAACAAGATACCAATCTTTTCCTTTTTTTTTTGTAATGGTTTTGTTGTTGGAACCAGAGAGACAGAAAGATAAAGTGAGAAAGCACCCCCAGGGCAGATGGCCATGCTGCAATCTCTTCTCCGCTGTCCTGTAAGGATTCTGAACACACGTGCACACACAACCAATGTGTTTCTTTTTTTTTTTTTTAAGAGGTTTCTGCTATAGGGCGCGTGTGCTCGCCAGACAGACAGAGACAGAAAGCGAGAAATCACCCCCCAGGGGGATGGCCGCGCCGCAATCCCTTCTCCTCCATTCTCCTCTCGGGATTTTGGGCACGCACGCACACGGGCCCAGCATGAGTTTTAAGCCACCCAGTCCGAGACACAAACTGCGGTCGACTACATAGGAGTCCAGCGACATAGCCATTACGCTAACTGCTGGTCCCAAGCAGTGTGTTTCTTAAGCCACCGTGTCCAGGCCTCAAAGAGGGCTGCCAGCCTCCTTAACCACCGTACTACTGGCTGCCCAAACAGTACATTTTAACACATAGACTCTGTGTGAGGACATGCTCTTCTCGTCTTATGCATGTTAATCCTCCTCTTTACTGGGCTAGCTCATTAGGGACTGATGTCTGTGTCTCCCGATTCCTATGTTGAAGCCCTAACTCCCAATGTGGCTACATTTAGGGACAGGCCTGTGAGGTGGTAAAGGCTGAATGAGTCCCTAAGGGTAGGGCTCTAATCTCATAAAGCTGATATCCTCACAGGAAGAGGGAGAGACCCCAGAGTTCTCTGTCTTTGCCATCTGAGGACATCGCAAGGAGGAGGAAGGAGGAAAGATTGTGACACGGCCATCACCCACCAGGGGGTGATTTCTCACTTTCTCTCTGTCTCTGTCTGTCTGTTTCTGATGAGCGCACGCACCCTATGACAAAAATCTAAAACAAATTAAAAAATAATAAAATAAAATGACCCAACCAACACAAAAGAATGTAAAATAAGGCCAGCTTATGGTCTGGTTGTCAATGCAGCCGATCCCATGTGGCTGACCATGAGGCTTGAGTCCAAGACCCAGGAGCATGAAAAACACAGGGCATGTGTGCCTGTGTGCCCCAAACCCAGACAGGATGGAGGAATGGAGGAAAAGGGATTGTGGAGAGACCAGGTCCTATAGGAGGTGCTTTCTGCATCTCCCTCTCTCTCTGTCTCCCTCTTAGGTGAGTACATGCACTCTGGGGAAAATGAATCTAAAATAAAATGCCTCTATACCCTTTCCTCAGTCCCACTCTCCACAGGCAGTCACTGTTAACACCTTCTACAGCCTTCCAGAAACAGAATTGTATTTAATTTCTTTTTTTTTTTAAAGAATTTTTAAAAATTTAACTTTTATTTATTTTCTTATTTCAATTTGACCAAAGAGGGACAGAGTGAAAGAGAGAGAGATAGGGAAAGCAAACCACCAGGTCCGGGACTCAAACTGTAGTCAGCCATGTGGGAGTCCAGCGCCTCTAACCACCATGCCACCTGCCGGCCCCTTAATTTCTTTTAAATACAAGTGGAGTTGTACTAAAACCACTCCATGTACTTGCCTTTTTCCACTAAACTACCTTTTGGAGATTAATTGTATCAGCAGACATGTATTTTTTTAATTGCCAAAGAGGGTGTGTGCTTAACAGAAAGAGACAGAGACAGAGGGAGAAAGCACCGGCCAATGGGGCATGATCACACAAGAATTCTTCCTCCTACATTCCTCTATCCTCTTAGGATTTGGGGCCTATTTTTCAAGCTACTGGGGCCAGGATTTGAACCGTGGTTAGCTGTGTGGAATCTGACTCCCTTAACAACTAGGTTACAGAGCCAGACTCATATCAGCATCTATAAATCCACCCGGTTCCTTTAACAACTACATGGCATTTGACTATATAAACTTCGCATGGGACCCGGCAAGTGGTGTGGTGGTTAATGGTGCTGGACTCCCACATGGCTGACCATGGTTCAAGTCTTAGACCTGGTGGCTTGCTTTCTCACTTTCCCTCTCTTGCTCTGTCCCTCTCTGGTCAAATAAAAATAAATAAATAAAGTTAAATAAAATAATTCTTTAAAAAAATTAAAATTAAATTTAGCATGGGGGACCAGCAGGTGGCATGGTGGTTAAGGCACTGGACGCTCCCACATGGCTGACCATGGTTCAAGTCTTAGACCTGGTGGCTTGCTTTCTCACTCCCCACACCCTCCAACCCCGTGTGTCTCTCTCTTGTCAAGTTACAAAATGAATGCATGAATAAATAAATAGAATTAAATCTTTAAAAAAAAAAAATTAAACTTAGCATGACTTAGGTCCCTAACATTAGAGTAGGTATGTATGTATCTTGTTGTTGCTGTTCTTGGAAACAATGTTGTAATGAATAGACTCCCATTTGTTCTTTGTGACAGGAAAGCCAAGTGAATTCTTAAAATGTATCTTAAGTCAAGGACTAGCAAGTGGAGTGGTGGTTAAAGGGCTGGACACTTGTACATAACAAACCATGGTTCAAGTCCCTAGCCTGGTGGCTTGCTTTCTCACTTTTCCTCTCTGTCTCTCTCTGGTCAAATTAAAATAAATGAATGAATAATAAAATTAAACAAATCATTATTTCTTTAAAAAATGTATCTCAATTCAGGGGCTGGCAGGTGGTGGGGGGGTGGCGTGGTTAAGGGCCCTAGACTCCCACCCAGCAGCTTGTTTTTTCTCTCTCTCTCTCTCTCCTCCCTCTCCCTCTCTCTGGTCACATTTAAATAAATAAAGTTAAATAAAATAATTCTTAAAAAAAAAAAAAACACTTAAGTCAAAGGATATATGGGGTTTAAGTTCTGAGAAAATGTCGCCAAATCTTGCGAAGAAGTTGTATAGATATACATTCCCACCAGCTAATAGCACAGAAATGTAGCCTTTCTCAAAAGTTCTTCAACATTCTATGGAAACATTTTAACCAATGTTGACCCAGTCAATGTCTGTCCATAGAATTCATGAAGGGACAGCAGGTGGCATAGAGGTTAAGGCATTGGATCCCACGTGGCTAATTTCATAGTTCAAGTCCCGGACTAGCAGCTTAAAGATCATGTCAGGTATATGTGTTTGTGCGCCCAAAATTCTGAGAGGAGAGCGAAGGAGAAGGGACTGTAGTGTAGCCATCCCCCTGGGCCCTAGGGAGTGATTTCTCATTCTCTCTCTTTCTCTCTAAAATAACAGTGATGATAAATAAAATAAATACATCTTTTTTTTCTTAATCGTGTGGCTAATTAGACATCCAACAGCTTTTCCATTTCCAGGCCTTGACCTAATTCAGGCTCAACTCCAACCTTCTTGCTGGGTCTCATCATCCGGGCTCTCTTTTCCAGAGGGTCCTCAAGCTAATTTGGTCTGTGGGTGGTTACCAACCCCCCTTCCCTATCTCCACTTTTCCAAACCCTTCTTATCCTCAGACTCTGACAAGATACCATGAAGCTCCACCAACAAAGGACCCACCCAGATTCTCAACTTCCAAAGCTCCTTCTAGGAACTGAGCCTGGGGCCACATGGAATTTCACCCTTGATAAGGAGCACAAAGAGTCTTAGCAAAGAGAGCTCCTTGTATGGCTGCGTCACAGCACCTTGTACACCGTACACCGGAAGTATGCAGAGAGTATATGCAGAATACACATCTTCCTTAATCACCCTTGCTTCGCCT